TTCTGCTGTAACACTGAAGCGTTCTCTTTTTCAGGTCCTGAATCATCCTGGCATATTAAAAAAAAAAAAAGGCATAAACAACCAAAGTTGGGCTAAACAAGGCTTAGAAGTTCAAACCACACAACCTATGGGCAAAACATAAAAGATAGTCAAGATAAACAGCAGCACTCAAAGAGCTGCATTAAAGGTGAGGGAGGACTCCTGATTTTTAATACAAACAGATCCCCTTTGAGAACAGCACAGGATCCTGGGCCAATCTCTCTGCTCTCCCACAGAAACGAAGTTGCACTGAAAGCTCATTACCCAACATTAGACAACCTCATTATACATTGCACCCTGCAGAGTCAGAGAACCGTGGCAATGTCAGTCATTTACATCCGGTAAAACACAACCCACTTCACCATTTTCCACCCACTCTGCCCAGCTGCAAGGAAGACAGACAAAGAATGAGGTTTCATATGTTTACGAAAGTCAGGCCCGAGAGACCTCGATCTCTGAAGGTGGGCGTACCGTGCTCATATGCAGGGGAAGGTTCTCTGTGTCTGTCTGGTCGTCTTGTTCAGATGAATCTGTTTCTTCCATTTGTTGCATTTCCAGCTCCGAGGGGAGAAGAGCTGTCAGGTAGGGTACAGTAAAAGGCCTGGCAGCAATCACTGGGGAAAAGAACACAGTCAGCAGGGTGGGAGCAGGCTCCTCAGCTCAGAGATCACAAAGTAAACCAGTTACAGTGTCAAACTCTTTCATTGGTTCTGGTTTTGAAAAGAAGAATCGCACACTATAAAAGTTCAAACATCTCCCAGGCATCACTCAGTCCCCCTGAAGATAACACTGGCATCTGTGCTCCCAGGCTTGGGAAGGAGGGAATTCTTATCACTGCTTTACAGGCAGAGAAACATGACAACCTCCACTGCCTTGCACAGAAATGTGTAAGAGAAGAAATGGCTTGTGCAAGTTCCGGAGGGTCGGACAGGACTGGAACAAGCATGTGAGAGGAGCTGTCAGCCAAGGTCTTCTCCACCATCAGAAGAAAGGGAGTCTTTGTTTAGAGTGGAAGCCTACCATGTGGTTTTAGCATGAACCCAAGGTTTTTATCCCTGTTTAAAATAGAACATTTGTCATTTCCCTCCCTTCCAGTGTCTCAGAAGGCTAACCACAACATAATCCTTCAGCGCTCATCCCCTGCAGTAACAAGAACTCTACTGGCACGTACGCTCTGTTAGACAGCTGTCATTTACAGCACAACGTTTCCGAGACAACTCACATGGGAAGGTGCTAACATCATCTTTGAAGAGACTCTGTGTTTCTCCCGTCTTGGCCATGAAGCGGGTGAGAGCTCTTTCCACGTCACGCCTTTGAGACGCTGCCTTTTCCCGTAGGACTTGGTAATCAGATACTGGCTCTCGGTACGTCTGTGGAGCAGGGAGGAAAAAAACACACAGTTACTGGATGCAGGGCAGACAGCTGACGTTCAAGACACCACTAGGATGCAGGTGCTACAGGTAAGTATTGACTTCCAACATGTACAGATTTTCAGAGAGTTACAGATGTCAGCCAGCCAGAAATCTGCAGCAGGGACAACGCACAAACAACAAGCGAGGTATCGAGCCAGAAGAACCAACATTCTGGACTAACACTGCAATAAAAATACGCATACTGCTTTCCTGGTGTCACTGACTTCAGACAGACCCTAAATGGAACAGAAGGCTCTTGTCACTCACGGGTGTCTTGATGTAGGTGTGAGGATCCGGAAACTCAGGGAAGTGGCTGGGGATGTGGGATGGATGCGGCTTGTTCTGCCCAGCCGTCAGGGCTTTGGGAGTCACGGGCTGGTTTGTCACAGGAGCTAGTTAAAAAAAAAAACAAAGAAACACACACACAAATCAGCCAGCAGCATTCTGCCATGTGGTAGGCATGCAGAAGTGCTAGCCTGTACTGTGCTGCGACCCAGGTCTCCAGATCCTACAGCAGGGATATGGCATATCCCATGAGCTATAGTTTCAGGTCGTGTTTAGAATCCCAAAAGAATTCCTTGACCCCTCTCTCCTACACAAGGACAACAAAACCTCATGTGAAGTGAGGATGCTGAAGCAAAGGCAACTGATCTGGCAGAGGACACCTGTCCTTCGCCTATTACATGGTTGTTACAGGATCCGTAACACAAACGGCATGCCCAGGAGCACTGGGCTGCTTCATCCACCAGAAAAGCAGAAGCTCTCTGGATGCCAGCAGTCAGAAATGCCAAATGATTCCCCGCAGAAGAAAAGAAAGGATTTCTCACGTACGGGCAGTGATGACCATCCTCTGGGAGCGCTTTGCATATGCAGGCAGCGTTTCAACATTGAACCCTGAAATACAAAAGAAGAGGAAACAGAAATCACACCAAGGGTTTACGCTGACAAAAATCCCTTCTCCTAGGCTTCTCCACAATTCAAAGTACACGAGAAAGAAAATTGTGTGCTCTGGATGCATTCAGACTGCATCAACAGTGACATCCGAGCACCCGCACGAGGCCTAGAAGAGCGGGCATCACGCAAGCACCAGAAACATCTGGATCAGATTTTCCTGCCTGCACAGCACACCCGAGTCTCCTGCAAGGCACGCAGCTGGAATTGGTGGGACGAGGCAACTACTCACCCATTTCCACTAACGTAACCACTATATCGGAGAGCGTAGGCTGCGTTCTGGCTGTGTGCTCACAGTAAGACTTGGCGCTCCTTCCAATTTCAGAAATATCTGGGGGAAAGAAAAAGAAAACACACTACATCTTCAGTTCAGGCAGAGCCCACACTTGCGTCACCCAGCCCTCAAAGTCAGCCCAAAGCCTGAATTTTTAGCAAATCTAGCTAAGAAAAAAAATAGCTCCCAGAATCTAGCATCTTGCAGCGTGAATATTTAAAAGTAAAGGAGAGCCAAAGGATGGAGACACTGACGATCAGAAAGTCAGGTGTCTTCCACAAGTGCAAAAGGCAAATCTGCTGCACAAGAATGAAAAATACAAAACCCAAGCACCTCGATTTCAGAACGTGGTGTGACCTGACATCAGGGCACGTCACCCAGAGAAGAGCAGAGCTGCCAAGTGCAGCGCTACTACTACAGCCTACCACTCACCAAATGTCTGGAACTTTGTTGCTTCTCTATTTTGGCAGCATCTCAATATGCAGAGCTAATTAGGATACCTAAGGCCCTCTGAGTATGATAGGCACTTCAGACAAACTGCTCACAAAGAAGTCTGTGACTCCGTGGCCGTGCTCTAGCCACCAGTCTGGCCTTCTGCTTTTGGTAACATCATGAACATAAGAGAAATGAAAACAAACAACCAAAAAAAAAAAAAAAACACAACAAAACAAAAAAGAGCAAGAGCAAAGGCAAATCTGGAAAGCAAGGAACAAGGAACTTCAGGGGACCAACGGGATTTTGCCCCAAGTCGCCCCCAGGATGCTCACAGCTCTGCAACATCTCCGTCAGCGTCTCCACCGCCGCCTTTTCAGCGCTCTCAAAGCCGGCTTCGGTGAGCAGGGAGCTGACCACCACCTGCAGAGTCCTCCTCCGAGCCAGGTAATAGTTATCCGCCGGCGTGGTTGCGTGCTTGCTGCCTGACCTCTGCGGACACAGACCCACACCTTGAGCCCAGAGCTTGGGGAAACGAAGCCCCGTTCCAGGGAGCAGCCCCGCCAGTGTTCTGCTTGCCCAGCCCCAGCTCTCCTGGAGCTGCTCCCTGAAACCAGCACCCACGGGGCAGAGGGCACCGAGCCTGCCCTGCGCCCCCAGGCAGGGCCACCTGCACCCTGCCAGCGCTCAGCACGGGCCCAGAGGTCCCCCACTGCACAGGTATGCACACTACACACGTCTGTATGCCTAGACACATACATATATGTGCATATATGCACACAGTGCACATGGAGATCTGCATGCACACATCTAGAGACATGAATATACATAAACACCTCCGAGTATGTGCATATATACATACTACATGATATGCATGCACACGTGTATAGATATGCACATAAACATCTACCTGGACGTGCATGTACGTACACCCTATACATGTATACATGCATATGTATCCAATAGACATGCACACACATCTAAACATATGTGCATATATGGATATTACATGCATACATATGCATACACTCATATGTACATAGATATCCACGTCCACACATATACAGATACGTACACATACATACGTATCATCCACATCCACACATATACAGGTACATACACATATATACACACATATACATCCACATTGACACATATGCAACCACACTACACATGCACATGTGCATACACACATCCAGACATGCATATACATACAGACCTACACATATATGCCTACATACACACACTATACATGTACGTATGCACACATATGTACATACTACATATACATTCACATCTGCACACACATATACACACTACACACGTACACACGTACACATGCACACACAGACATATAGACATGCACACACATCAACATCAATATATGTACACACTATACATGTACATAAGTCCATATGTACACACTATACACGTACATATGCACACACATATAGATACTTATACATGCACATCCGCACACACACATACACATACATATAGGTACACATCTGCAGACACACATACACACACTATACATGTACATATGCACACACACATACACATACATGTACATATACATCTACAGACATATACACACACCCTACACATGCACATACACACACACACAGACAAGCCTACACATACACATCTGCACGTATATGCACACTACACATGTACATATGCAAACATGCACAGCCATACACACACACCCCCATCTATCTGCGTGCACACCCATACACACGTGCACACCCATGCACTCTCTGTTTGAGCGCGGCCCCTTTAAAAAAAAATCCCGCCCCCGCTCACCACCGCCCCGCCCCCCTCTCCCCCGCCCAATCAGAGCGCTCAACCTCGTGCCAATCACCGCCCGCTGCCTAGCCCCGCCCCCTCCCTCCCTCCATCCAATCAGCGCCCCGCTCCCTTCACCCCCCCACATAAAGCCGGAAGCCCCCGGGGCAGGCTCAGCTATGGCGGCTCCGCGAGCAGCCCGAGCCGCTGCCGTTCCCCTGGGGGCTCCTCCCCTCTCCGGATACCGGCCCGGAGCAGCGGGGGCCCCGCCGTTACCGTGCCGGAACCGCCGGGCGCCGTGTCGGCCATCTTGCAGGTAGGTTGCGCTGTGCGCATGCGCGAAGGAGCATGGCGGCGGCGCGGGGGGCGCGCGGGGCATTGTGGGGGTTGTAGTCCGGGGGGGAGGTACGGGGGGGGGACGAGCAGGGGGGGGAAGGGAAGGGAAGGGAGGGGTGGGGAAGGGCAGGGGGCGGCTGCCGGGGCCGTGAGGTGCAGAGGGGGCTGCCCCGCCGCCTGCTGCCGGCCTGAAGCGGCGAAACCGGGGACATAACGACAGATCCACAGCGAAAACGAGCGAAATCGCAGCGAAAATGGGTGAAATCGCGGCGAAATTGGTGAAATCGCCCCGGAGGCTGAGAGTGAGGTGAGGGAGAGCCGAGATCCCCCGGGCTGCGGCTCAGCGAGGGCGTTGGGTGTGCTGTGAGGGGGGTTTAGAGCTGGCCGGGGTTTTGGTGTGAATTCCTGGGGTTTTGGGGCTTGCTGGAATTGGGGTGGTGGCGGTGGGGCTGCTCGGTAGCGGCAGTGATCCCGTAACAGCGCGGTCGTAGTAGGGCAGGTGCCCTGCCCCTTAGTGTGTTATAACAGATATCGATAAACATAGACATATCCAGGTGTTAGAACATCATATATATAAAAATATAGATAAATCTGGGTGATATAACGGATAAAATGCTGCGTTTGGAGGTGCTGAGCTCCTTGGGGCTTCCACCCAAGGGGTTCCTGAAGGTTTGGATGCTCTGGAGTCAGCTGACGTGCCACATGAAGCCAAAAGAGGGGGAAATGTGACAGCTTTTAATTTCTTCTTAAATTTTTTTGAATTATTATTATATAATTTTTTAATCATTTTTTTAATTTGTGGCTTAACTCTTGAGAAGTGCCTGACCTGCGTTGTTTGGGTGGAAGGGGTGTGAACTTCGGGCTAAAAACATGAGTGCAGTGATGCTGCTGGAAAAAAAACCCTCGAGCCGGGGCTGTGTGTGGGAACACCACGGGGTTTGGGGCTGGTCGATGCCAGACGTGGTACCCCAAGGAGAATGAAGCCCCTCAGGCTCAGCTCAGCATCGGGTTAATTCAACAGGTCTGTGGGTGCTGGTTATTGCAGCAAATCCAGGGGACGTGCAAGGGTGGCCAGGTGCTCGTTTGCTGAGTGCTGCGTGTGTCGGAGTGCTGGGGGCTGAGTTTTCTCTCCGTAACACAATATGCCAGCCATCAAAGTCAGCAGAAGGAAAAGTGAAAACCAAATTGTGGTCAGTGACGTGGAGCTGGACCCTGAAATACTTCAGGTAGGGGCACGCTGCAGGGTGAGGGGGAAGAACCCGGGTGTTTGGGATGTGCACAGGGCAGGACCTTGTTGTGCTGCTCTTATCTGCTGCCTCGCCCTGGCTTCCCTGTCTGTACTGTGGGGGGCTGAGGGAATTATCAGCGATGTTATCTCGTGGAGATGGTGAAGGGTGTGTTATAAATACAGTACAACTGATCTTTAACTCCTGTTTTCTTGCGTGGGGACTGTCTCTTCTCGATCTCTTGCCTCCAGCACTTTGTCATGTCACTTCTCAGTGTTATTTACATCGTGTGCCTGGAAAGAAGCAATCCTGATTTTATTTTCTCATCTCCAAGTGTTTATTCTTTTAACTGGTCCACATAACACACAAAAAACAATCCTGAAGAAGGTGGAACAAGACCCAGCACCCCTCTCCTGCTCTGGAGATTTAACTGCTGGATCTCCCTGCCCTTTTGCTGACTCTTTTTCGTGTGGTGCTTTTCTCCCTCCATACTCATGGAGGGCATCTGCTGCCTTCCTGAGCAGCCTGGGGGTATTTTTGGGGAGGCACACTCGGTGCTCCCCTCGGGATCTCTCTCCCTATGGGCAGGTTGCTGCAGGTGAGGCTGCTGAAATTGCAACCTAAACATCAATTTTCTGGATGAGCCGTTAGGCCTGGCTTGTGTGTACCCACCAGAATCTGATGTGTTTTGCTGTCTCTTTTCCACTACGTGCTGCATTACTTGCTTTATTCACGTGTGGGAGCTGTTGTGTAAATAACAGCGCCTCGCAGCCCTGTGCTGATGGGTTTTTCACTCTCGAATATCCTTTCCAAAATGTTATAGGCAAAATTCAGGAATAAAACTGTCCCGGTCTCCAGCTCATTGCACTCCAAGAACTTTTGGCTTGGGCATGGGTTGGGCAGGGGGGGTTCTGAGGGGTGCAGGGAGGCTGGGTGCTGCAGTTTCTGGGGCTGCTTCGGGATATTCTGGGCTCTCGTCCTGCCTCTGCAGCCTTCCAGCCTGCCCGGTGACCCCAGGCAAGTCCCTTTGCTCCTCTGCGTTTCACTTTCCCATCTGTAAGTCCTGGCATGCCTTGGGGGGTGCTTCCAGAGATGCCAAAAAGCCCCATCTGACGTTAAAATGCTCTCATTGATGGCAGGGGCTTGAAGCCTTGGAAGGCTCTTCCCAGAGCAGCGCAGCCCGCGCTGGACTCGGTCACGGGCAGAATATCCAGTGCCTGGCAGAGATCTGCTGGTCTAAATGTCTGCTGAAGGCCCTGAAATTATTGGTACAAAATCCCTTTTTATGGATGCATAATTCTTCTGTGATGCAGAGCTTCTGTCTGGAGAGGGGAGAGATTAAAAAAAAAAAAGAATATGAAGCAATACCTACTGTGAAGGTCCAGTTTCTTGGTGATTTGGTTTATTTTCTTTTTTTTTGCATGTCTCTGAAGTAGCTGCTCGCAGCCACTAGAGGAGACTAGCCAGCCAAGGGGGGGACTTGGTGAAGAAAGGGACGCTTCAGAGCCACGCTCAGGGATGTTGCCAGGGATCCGGTGGGAAAGGGAAGGAATTTGGAAGCAGGCAGGACCACGCTGGCAGCCTGTGCCGGTAGGTGGAAGGCGGCATCCTTAGCTTGGAGCCCATGGGGAGTGGGAAAAGACCTCGCCGCTGGGAAAAAAGAGCCAAAAAGGGCTGGTTTGTGGTGCCAGTTTCCTCTGGAGTTTTGTGAACTCGGTCATCTGGGTGAGAAAACTGTTGTCCTGCACGCGGCGCGTCCCAAAGATGGGAACGTTTCCTCTTGCTTCCCCTCTTAGCACCAACAAAACCCGGTCACATCGGCGTCAAACCGAGAGAGGACAGGAGTGCACGTGTCCTCACTGAGTCACACACAGATGATTTCAAAGAAGGTGGAGGAGGTTTGGGTTTTCCAGGTCCTGAGCAGCCGTGTGACCCCAGCCAGGAGCGGATTGACCTCACGGAGCTCCCGCCGGGGTGGTTATTCTGCTACTGACAGCCCCAGAGGGGGAGCTGTGAAGCTTGCTGAAATTCATCTCTGCAAAGAATAACAGGAGCCGATGACTACGGACCTGTCGGGTAGGGAAAACCCCAAAGGGTTGTCACTTCTGAGCTGGGAGGTGCTCCGTGCAGCGGGCTGGCTGGGTCACCCTGGTGCCGGTGAGTTGGGCAGCTGGAAAGGACTCAGCTCGAGGCAGGGGTGAAATTTCGCGGCGTGTGGGACACAGGAAGCCAGGCCACAAGCTCGAACACCCCTTTGTGCTCTAAAATTGTGTTGTCTCTGGCTCATCACAGAGAAAATGCATCCTGGGGGCAGGCCTGGAGGAGCGATGGAGCTGCTGCCCCCCCCCCCCGAAAGGAAGCGGCTTCTTCCCCTGGTGCTTCTGCAGCACTGCTGGTGCCTGGAGATGTTCGAGGCCTCCAAAACTTGCAGCTTGCCTCCCTGCACGGTGCTGCTGTGCCCCAGCACTGCCCCAGCACCGCAGCCACCAGAGGGCACGGTGCCACCAGCCTGCCCTTGGTCCCCAGGGGCTTGTTTCAGAGCCCCAAATTGCCAGCGCTCAGCTCATTTAGGCTCTTGCAGCCATGAGCTGTCAGGATACCACCAAAATCTTCTCTGCTGAAAAGCCCCCGACTCCTTGACTGACTCTGAGGGTTTTTGTGCAGTGGTGTGACAGTGGCAAACGCTTGGGACACCGAAGAAGCTGCTGCTGGGCTGGGAAGGGATCAAGTGCACATTTTTTGGCTTGTGCCTTGCAGAAATAGCCCAAAATGCAGAGAGCTTACAGCCGTTTTGCTGCTGGGTTTTGTTATTTTGCTGTTTACTCCTCTGACAAATATTACCTGCTCGCTACTGTCACCACCCTCCTCCCTAAACCAGCGGTGGCGTTGGTGTTGGCAGCGCGCTCGGGTGTTAATTGCAGCAGCTTGGGGCAATGCCCCTGCAGATTTCCTGCCAGCTTCGTTTTGTGGGGGAGGGATGAGCCCTCTGTAGGGTCACACCTGGAATTCACCTTGCAAAAAGCTGCTGCTTGCACAGGAGGTGGAGAAGAGTTTCCAGAATGCAAAACAACATCTCGCCGTGCGTCAAGACAGCCACGGGGTGTCTTGGGGCGAAGCTCGTTTAGTCAGCCCTATAAATAGCCACCAGGGGAGAAGGTGGCTGCTGGTGGAGGGCTCTTTGATCTGGCAGACTCATAACACGATCCAGGTGCTGGAAGTGCAGGTCAGAGGCGTTAGGGCAGGAAATGAGGATGTCTCTCTGCAGGAGGAGGCTGTCAGGCTTCTCCAGGGTGCGCTGAGCTAGGCACAGAAATGAGTTTTTTGGTGTTTTTTGTTTTTTTTTTTTTTTTTTTTTACAGCCAGCTCCTCAGCAGGCGAGGTGCTGCTGTCCCTGCAGGGGCCCTGGCTCTCCTCCCCTGCCACCCCACCCTCACCGTTGGGACTGCAGATGCGAGGTGTCCCGGGTCTCCTTCTCCATCCTGCGCTCCGTAAGGATGAGTCCTCCCCAGCGAGGAGGTCCCAGCAGCTCTGTTTGGCCAGACTGGGATGTCGGAGCAGCGTTACTGGTTCAAATGGGGCTGGGGGTGGCTGGTGTTTGCAGAGCCTTCTATTTCAACACTGCTCAGCTGATGTAAAAACTGTTCCTTCCCTTCCGAGCAGCTCGTAGCTGTGCTTGAGTCAGTGCCGCGTCTAATCCACCAGGCATGTCAGCCCACACCTCCGGGCTGGCCGGAGCTTCTGCTGCCAAGAACGA